TTTTTGGATAATTACACACGCCCTCAGAGGTTTAATGAAATTTTATTTAATAACTTTTTATCCCTTACAAATCTTATTTAATTTATACAATAATATAACATTTTATGTCATTCTAAATTGTACAAATTACACTTAATTTTTAATACGGTTCTATGAATTAAGAGAAGTTTAAGTAATATAAAATAAAGAAGTATTGAAAAGAATTGTTGTATCACAATGGTAATGTAATTTATTATAAATTTTCTATGTAATTAATTATGATACAGTGAATTTTTTTTATTAAAAAACTTTAAAATATAAGATATAAATTTTTATAAAAATCATTATTCAATGTTTTTAAAGTATTAATTAAAAAATAAGAATAAAAATATTTTATTAAAAGAAATAATAATATACTTACTATTTTTTTGTCAATTATCAAATTTACTCTAGTTTATATAAATAATTCAATTTTATTTTTATTTAAGTAAATTTAATTCGCTTAAATAAAAGAATTTTTTTTCTCTCTTCTTCTCTCTTTTATTCCTTTTTCCTCCCTTCTTCCATAGGTTCCTTTCTCTTCTCTTCTTTCTCTTCTCCTCTCACTCCTTCAATCAGTCTCATCTCTTCCTCCCATAGCCCAAGTTTCCTTCTTCTCTCTTTTCTCACAACTTTTTCTTTTTCTTCTTATCATTTTCTTTCTCTTTCTATATTGTTTCCTCTCTTTCTCTTTTTTTATAAGTTTTTTTATCTTCTTTTTTCATCAGTTTCGTCTCCTTTTCCCACAGTTTTATGTCTCTCCTTCTCCTTCATCTCTCTCAAAGTTCCTTCCTCTTTTTTTTTCTCTTTTTCTTATAATTTTTTTAAAATTTCATTTTTACTTAAAAATAAAAAATTTTGAATAATTTATTAATATGTTTTTTAAAAGTTATATATATATATATATACACACGTGTGTGTGAATAATAAGTAAAATGTAAAAATTAACCTATCTAACTCATTAGTAATTTATAAATTTTTTTTTCTTTATTTTTTTTATGTTATTACTCCTTTTTAGTTGTTGTTGGAGTTCAGATGAAATCACCATTGGAATCTAAGGACATTAGTTAACATTAATTTTATATTTCATATTTTATAAAGCAAACCAGAGATAAGTAAATAAAAAAACAAATTATTAATAGAAAATTATATAAAATGACAAAAAAAAATAAAGAATAATTTATAATAAGTATAAATAAAATAATCATAAAGATGAAACGAAAAGCAAATCAAACAGTAGAAAAGAATGCAAATACCTAACTTTTACAATACCAAATAATAATGCCAAAACATTTTAACCATGTATCAGCTTACTTTATATCTTATTGTGTATCAAACTTAGAGATGGCATAACCTTTGGTGCTTGCATTTATGTGCCAAGACTCCAAATGTTTTTATATTCATGCTTCACCCTTTCATGCACACATCTATCAGTTCACCTCTTTTCAGTTATTATTATTAATTAATTAATTAATTAACGCTGATAACTTGCCCTCAGGTTGAAGGGTACTCTATCCGTTGCCTATTTTGCTTTGTGGGAGCAATGCTATTTCCCTCACAGGACCACTGGTCTTCTCAGCTATCAAGATTACGAATATCCTTAGTATATTTCTCACCATTAATTTAATTATTTGAGACAGGCTTACGAAAGCAACTGCGTAATACCACCAAAACAAATATTATCTTATGCTAAATCGTGTATTATAAATTAATTATATCAATTAATTAAATAACTTTCACATCTCTTGCTTTGCTAGCAGCGTACTCTGTTGTTCATGGAGCTTACGTGTTTGCCATTCTTAGTTTTCTGAATTCAAAGAAAACAATATAATAACAAAAAAATTGTCGTTCATAATAATCTAATCTAATTTAAACAAGATATCTAATTTTGAATATTTAGAGATGTGTTTATAAGAGAATTAAAAATAAATTAAAGATAAAATAATTATAATATAATATGATTATATATAACCGGGAATATTTTGATTGTGCCCGTGGAAAATGCAGATAAATGAAAAGATCGATTAAACTGGTCTCATCCACTGTCAGATGATAAAAGCAAGGAAAGTTAGTAGTGAGATCTGATCTCAGTCAGTGCTCTTTCTTTCTTTCTATATTATTTATGAATTAAGTACTGATGATTGTCCCACTTGTTCACTGCAAACCTCATTAGAACAACATAGGTCTTGGCTTAACGTGTTTAAATAAATTTTCTCTCCTGTAAAACTTGTTACATCTGGAATTAATTTTTAATTATTTTGTTCAAATTTAGTTTTAATATATTAAGTAAAAATTAGTTTTTAATCTTAACTTCTGTTTGTTAAATGCTGAATTAGTTCATGTGATAAACTTTTTTTATCTTGATCATCACATGTGATATGACTTTTATTATACTAATTTCTAAATAAATCACAGAAGATGTTATATATATATATAAAACATATTTTAATATATTTTTCTGCAATTTTTTACCTAAATAAAAATATATATAATTTATTTAATGTTCAAATATCATGATTCAATTTTATATTTATAATGCTAAAATTGGTAACAAAATAAAAATATTGAAATATTTTGTTATATATAGAAAGTTACAATTTAAAAAAAATTAAAAAATCTAGCATAGTGGGATGATTGGTGTTTGGAAGGAAGAGTACCTGTTAAAAAATAATATATAATTATAAAATAAATTCTTAAAATTATTGTCTTACAAAGATTATTTCTAATTATTAAGAATTTTTTAATTTAATTATTTAAGTTTTAAGAATGTAAAATTAAATAAAATAAAAATTTAATTATAAAATCAATTATGAATAAAAGTAAGTAACACGATACACATTTTGATTGAATTTATAGGAAAGTAACTTACGATATATGAGTTTTCTCATTTAATATTTTATGTTATTTTTCTATTAACTCTAAATCTGATTTTTTTGTGATTACTAATTATTTGTACAAATATTATTAATACCTAATGGTCATGGAATATTAATATTATTTTCTCTAAACTAACATCTACAATAGTCATGCAAGATATTAATTCAAAAAATCATAAAACACTTATAAACTTGTTAATTAAATAATAATTGAAAGAGAAAGATTAGTTTAGTCTACTTAATTTTTTGTCTAGTTTTAACTAATCGAGCTAATCTACATATAATTAATTAAGTTTTTGTTACAATTGGCCAATTTACAATATACAATTAAGCTTAATAGAATAAACACTAATCACGAACAGAAATTAAGCTTAGATTCAATCATTAAAATTTTATAAATTCATAAATAAAAACTCTCATAACTCTAACTATAAATTTAGTTACCCATACTAAAAAACCTAAAACAATTATAAATAAAGTCATAATTTGAAGATAAAAAGTAAATTAGAAAGGAGTATTCAGTCTTTAAGTTCAATTGTTTCAAACTTCAAGTCTTATTAAGAATGTACTAAAGATTACGTGGAAGAAACGAAATGATCGGTGTCACAAAAAAAAATGTAAAAATTGGATGATTAAAATGTTGCTCTCATATCTCTCTAAATAGGGTTTAAAACCTTGAATTCTATTTGAATGTGTTCAAGAATATACAGGATCTATAGATGTTTTGGGCACAAACTCAAGCAAATGATGTAAATTTGGACTAAGCACGCCCAGTTCACAATTAGTTAGCACACCCTCGCTTCGATATGATGCACTCGTCCCTTGCGTCTCGCCACCAATCTGCTCAAAACGATAATGGCCAAGCTCACTTAAGATGCTTTTTAAAATATGTCGGGAAATTAAAAAATGCTTTTTAAAAGTGTAAATGAAATGATAAGTGAAATATAAACGAGTAAAGATTAAAAAATAATAATAATTAAATTCGTATTGAGATTTTTCAAGTCATTACGTGTTTAGCTTGACGTTTGCACAGTCTAAATTTCTGTTTGTTTAGGTATGCTTTTTTAGTAATTTTTTTTAATATTATATTCTACACAATTAAGTAATTTAATCTTAATTTTACTTTTTTATTTAAATAAAAAATTAACTCACTTTAATCCTCACACACAAATCCGGCTAAAATAATTTTCTTAAAATTAATTTTGTAAGTTTTAAATTAAATAAACGATTAAAATTATAAAATTGAGAGAGAAAAAAAAGACGCTCACGCTCAAGTGAGTTCGCTGATTCCTACTTCACCAGAACCTATAAATTATTTATGTTAGTGGCTATTAAAATTTAAATGCAACTCAACCAGTCAGAAACTGGGGACTGTTAAATCATCATGATTTGTCATTTCTAATTAGCATTAGTCATAAATACCCATTTGGACACGCAAAAATTTTATTGGCTATCTAAAATTGTGAAATATATAAATTAAGAAATTTTGTTAATATTGTCATGTTTTTAATTATCGTGAACTAATCTTCTAATTTAATCACTCTAATGAATTATTTTTTTTTGGCTCCATTCCTTAACAGGTGCAAACTAGGCCCCACCCATGCAACACCATTATTAAGTTCAAATCAATCAAATCACCACAAATTTCAAGCGTAAACGGGACCAAATCTAACAGGTTTTGCTGCCCTACATATAATTGATTTTATAAAAAGCTTAATTACATTTCTTTCCTAACTTTACACGTAAAATAAGCTTCCTAACTTTTAATACTTATATTTAATTTATTAAACTTTCAATTGTTTAATGTAAATCTTTCATTTTAAAATATCATCTAATAATTGACAAAAATGTAATAAAATATAATAAAAACCATTTACTTTTTTTTTAATTATCTTATATACTCTTTCTTTCTAAATTTATATAAATCTATAATGTGACAATTTTGTTATACTTTTATTAATTACTAAATAAAATTTTGAGATAAAAAAATTTAATTTGAACAATTGAAGGATAGTGAAGACTAAATTAGAACAATTAAAACTAGAAATACTAAAATCATACAAACAAAACTATAATGACTAAATATTATAATTAAACCTTCTTTCTAAGTGAGATGATATATCATATATCAAAGTTAGCAAGACTAAATGCGATGCCCTCTAACAAAATACCTGTATGTACACAAAACTGGCATAAGATATTTCAGCTACATATTAAAATCAAGCTTGCCAAATTCAGCTCGTAATACAGAAATAAACAAAGACAAAACTAAAGCATGGAGATAAATATAGAGCCATCATCATCGCCTAAATTGTTCATTTCTTCCAAAGCAAATTGCTTTGGTCTCAATATAACAAGGCACTCAGCAATCTTAGATAACGAAAATGGGTAAAGACATAAACAAAACCCATATTTAAAGTGACATAATAGTAACAGAAATGTAGCCCATTCTAGTCAAGAAACATTTTGGCGGTGGATTTCATCAAAAAGCCTAAAATACATAAACAAATACATAGTAAAATAAGTTATGAAGCACCTTTAAAAATACAAGGTAATAACAATTAGTTACTTCTCAGCATCTCCAAGTTGAAACTGTGACAAGTTCTTTCCTCTGCCAGCATAGAACAAGAGATGAGTGCTTTCTCTCCAATTGAAAACCCCTTATAGGTGCCCTTTGCACTAAACACTCAGCTTGAGTTTCTGTGGAGTTACTAAATGTGGATGGAGAGAATCCATATTGAAGAAACATGTTCCTCCAAGGAGGTAACTTTTCCTGCGAATGTTGGTGACCAATTATGATTTTCTTAATGGCTGGTAGAACAAAATGTTTCTCAATCTTTTGAAGGACATCAAGGTTCACATTTACAGCATCAAGTGATTCAAGTAAGGCTGAGTAACAATGAAGAGCATGGACTACATTGGTGGCAAATGGTACGTCGAATCGATCGCAATTTCTATCCAAAGTGACCACCACTTTTGGCCTAAGCTGCTTTACAAAGCGAAGGACAGAAGGGAACAATGATGGGTAGTTTGTGAAACAAGAAAGTGGCATGTTAACAGCAATAGCCTCGTTCTCATAGAACTGTCCAGAGAGTGGACACGAAGGAGTGTTCAATGATTCAATGCTCAAAACATTGAGCTCGAACGCCATGTTGATGTCTTTCGCGTATTGATTCAAGTTTTCTTGGGTGACATTGAGCTCAACCTCATCACAAGTGGAGGGTGATACAATGGCAGTGATTTTGAGTGAAGGCACACCACTACTCCTCAGAGCAAGCTCTTGCATAAGAGAAGACCATTGCACTCCAAACCCGATATCAAAATCGATAATGTGAATTCGATCAAACCTTTCCACAGCTTCAATGAGGGCTTGATTACTAGTAAAGTTGGAAAACTGAAGAACAGGTGATATCTCAGAAAAGGACATATAAGCTCCAATTTTGAATACGAAACTAATGGGTGAGAAAGCCAAAAGATTTTGAACATTTGAATGAAGCAATGACATCAAGGCCTCCTTCATGTAGAAAGCAGCCCTTTGGAAAGGCTTACCAATTGGTGAGAGCTGGTGATTGAGCCGCGCCAATATCCCTTGCGCATGAACCGGATTACCAGCTTCTATCAGCTCAGCAGTTTTGTATAACTGATCAAATATGGCCTGCTGAAGCTGGTGGCTTGAATCTTCTCCGGTGGAACTCACCTTCTGCTGTTTAGCAGATGGCACAACCTGTGGTTGCACATGATGAGGAAACAATGGAAGCTGCATTTGCTGCCTCCTACCAAACAGCTCTTGCCCTGAATCCAAAAGGGGCAACCTTGGAACCTGATAATTGAGCCCAACAGTGTCATAAAGGGGGCGTTTTGCTTGATGCTGAGAGACCACTTGTTGCTCTTGCACTTGGGGGTACATCATTGGCACAAAGAAAGAAGGGTTCTCTGTGAATTGAACTTGATTATGGTTTAACATAAACTGAGGATTGATAACTTGAGGTTTCTCATCTACTTCTCCAACCACTTGATGCTGCTGTTGAGAATCAAACACACCCGGAGATGATGATGACAACAACAAAGGATTGTTACCATAAGCAGAAAAAATTGAGTCTCCAGCAGAGAAAGAACTAGTCTTACCATTGTGACCATCTATATTCTCAGCCATGAAAGGGAAACCAGGGTAATTCCCTGGCACAGATGGGTCAATAAAACTTACCATGTTCAACCCTTGATCCACAACACCAAAACCTCCATTGAAATCAACACTTTGAGACCCACATCCATTGTTCTGGAAGAGCTTGCTCAATCCTCCAGAATGGTCTTCAACATCACCCATGATTAACCTCATAATAGATTGATCTTGAGCCTCCCAATCCTCCATTCTCATACCACATTTTTCTATGGTGGTTTCCAATGCTGGTTGACGAGGGTTCTGAGACACAGTTGGGGTGTAACCAGTGGTGTTATTGGTTGAACCACCACTTCCACCTTTGCTTATGGTGTTGCTGCTACCAAGGGAAGAGGACATAGTGGAAGAGTTTGGGCTTCTTCTGGAGTCAAGAACTGAGGTGGGCTCAGTGCCCACATAGCAATAATCTTCTTTGTCTTTGGTCCACTTTTGTGGATTATGCAAAAGCAGTGAAAATGAATCTGAGGCTGAAGAGAAATCCAACACTCCCTTCCCTTGAAACTCTTCAAAAGGAAAGGGCATGGCCTTCATCTAAGAAAGTAACTAGAACAAAAACAAGAACAAGAACAACAACAACAACAACAACAACAAGGGTACCCACAAAATCAACCCACCCAAAAGACTCCAGTTTCTTCCAAAGTTAGCACCTTTGTTCACCCATACCCTCCCAGAACCGGTTTAAAACCAACAACATGGACAAATGGGGTTGGTACACAAATCCAGAAGCGAAAGCTCAGAAAATTAAGCAAATTCAGATGCTAAAACGAAGAAAGATGAAATTTTTGGTTGGAAGAAAGGCAGGAATTTTGATGGGACATTGAAAATTGTTGATGAACACAAACACACATAGAGGATTCCAAAAATGAAAACTTGGGCTTCCATAAAGGTTGTCTTTTTCTTCCTGGATCTGTGGCTTATTATGCTCCAAACAGTTGCAGTAAAAGAAGGGAGCCATGAATTAGGTTCTTTGTTGAACACCTTCAAAGCTTGTCCTTTTCTCTCTGAATCTGTGGCTTGTTATGCTCCAAATAGTTGTTGCAGCAAAGGATGGAAGCCATGAATGTGAATTCTCTGTTGCTTATGTTTTCTGTGGGAGACACTCTTTGTTACTTGTGTTTTCTGGGATAGAGTGCTCTCTCTCTCTCTTTCTCTCTCTTTCTGTTTCTACTTTTCTTTTTTTAACTTTTTAAATTTATATTGTGTTAGTTGTCTGCACAGTAGTTTTCCCTCCGGTTGGTAATGTTGCTTTCACCTCACTTCTTTTCCCCATTCTCAAATGTGGCGCGTGGAGGCATATCCCATATTATCTTATGTCTCTCCGGTTTGAATCCTTTCTAGGGTGAGTTATAATTTAGGCTTAATTTTTTTTAATATATAAAATCAATACTTTATGCTTCAATTTTATCTTTTCTTTTAACTCGGTTCGTTATTTATTTTATTTCTTATATTAGTTTTGTCTTTTACATTTTAAATTTCAAATAAATAAATTAAATTTATTAATTAGGTTCAACTATTAAATAAGAAATAACAATAATGACAATAATTAAAATTAAAAATATTAACAAATTAAATATAATTTAAAAATTTATTTTAATTAATATTTAAAAGTTAGTAAATTAAAATAAAAAAATGAGAATCCAAATAAAAATAATAATGAAACAAAACATAAAATTAGAAGGAAAATAATTTTTTTCTTTTTTAATAATACTTTTAAAATTAGTCTAATAATTAAAATGGTGAAAAAATAAATTTATGTTTTCTTTATTAATTGTGATTGAATTAAATTAAAGTATGTGATAACTAAATATATAATTTTCATAAGATATAGGGTATGAGAAATTCTTTGGAGAAAACAATTGTTTGTATTAAGAAGAATTTACAATAGCAGTTGTGGGAAATTATAGAAGGTAAGAGGCCAAGCAAAAATGTGAATGAAAAAATGTGAATGACATGTGTAGAAGTGTAATAATAATAAAGACTATAATATTCAATCTACTTATCATTACGTTCATAATTACTTCATTATAGCAGTTTGGAGTTGTGTCTAAATTTGGAAGATCAGTGCAGTAGTATTCGTGTAACGTCTGTTACTTAATGCAATTCCAGTATAGAGAAATTTAACCAAATGCGGATTGATAATTTCTTCTGAAGTTTGTGGGTTTTGTGATACCAAATATGAGGAAACATTATACCTTTTTTTATATTGTGATACTGCTATGAGTTTGTGGTACATGATGTTCGAATGTTTGGTGTCACTATATGCTTACATGAAAATTTGCATGAACTGAATATGTGTAAAATTTGATGTGAAAAAAAAATGGAAGGAAGCTGTAATGATGTGGTTTGCAGTAGTATAGACAATTTGGCTTCAAAGAAATAATATTATCTTTGATAATGTTGTATTAAATGTTAGTGAAATGTTACAAGGTTGGATTGTTCGCCCATTAAAGTAGTACATGAGTTGGATTCAGAACATCATGAGACAGTTTAGTCTATATATGGTATGACATTAGAGCATTGAGTGGACCTTTCCCTAGTACAAGAGGACTGAAAAGAACACACCTCTGGTGTGCATTATTATGCCCACAGTAAATGCTAAGTAGCCAAATTAGATTAATGATCTTTTCATAGGAAACCCCAGGCTAAGAGCAAAGAACTGAGAAAATATATTCACTAGAGCTAAATACGCTGACCTTCCTTAGCATGAGAACTAGATTGCTTAACAATTTTTTTTTTCATAAGACATAATAAATTAATATATAATTATAAGATAATAAAATATAGTAAAAATTAAAAAAATTATATTGTATGTCTTATAAAATAAAAATATTATAATAAAATTTCTAATTAATATTAATCTTTATATGCCCAGTATCTAGGAAGTTTTTCTTATTTTAAAAATAGTGGAGACTACATTTATGAAATATATTAATTTTAAAAAAATTATACAAATTAAAATTAATTAATATTTATTAAATATTTTATTTAACATATGATATTATATATATTAAATTAAAATTAAAATATTTATAATTATTTAATTTATTTTAATTTTAGCATGTATGTGAAAATGTTAATATCACATTATTTAGCAGTTTCATTGATAAAATTTAATTTTATAAAAAAATTATTAAATAAAGTAATATTTGTAAAAGTTATTCTTAAAATAACTTAATTATATTATTTAAAAATGTTTTTAAATCAAAATTTTATACAATAAAATAAAAAAATAAAATTTAAAAAACAAATTAGATTTAACTACTTTATTAGTACATATTCATACTTAAATTTTGAAAGATGTAACTAATTTTTAATTAATTTCTTAAAATATTTAGATAAATGACTCAATTACTTTTTAGTTGTGCCAGTTATTCTTATCTATAAATTTTACATTCAAAGCATAAAAATTATATTAAAAAAAATCAGCTGATAGATATAATATCTTCTAACTTAATATTTAAAGATTAATAATGAATTTGGAATATGAAATTCTTTTGAAAAAAAGTTCAGAACTTAAAATATTTTCTTGTAGGTTGTAAGGGAATAAAGAAACATTTTAGAAAAATAATTAAATTAATAAATATCTTTTTAAAATTTCAACAGTAAATTTTTTTACATTAATAAAAATCTAAAAACTTTTATATTTAATTTAAGCTTTTTATTTAAGGTCAATAAATTCTGCTTATATACATATATAAACATGTAATATTTGTATCTTACGCATCGTTATCAGATTTTTTTTTTTAAAAAAAGTCGAATACCATAAGATATTTGCATAGCTAATTAGTCAGATAAAGAAAACAACCGAAAAGAATAATAGATGATTAGTGACTGCATACTAATTATTGCAACAAAGCTTGTGCTCAATAGCTTTTTACAGTAATAAATAATAATTGGAGAGTAGTTGCTTTTATCATAGAAATAATTGCATTAAAATTGGTCCCTCTTGCAAAAGATCACAGCCTCAGTAGAAAGCCTCATTAGTCTGAGAATTAAACAATACTAAATATCAATACTTTTTTGTGGTTGAAAGACATTACAATATGCCAAGTATAACCAAACATAACATTCCCACAAAAGAGAATAACTAGAATGCCACTTAGATTAATTGAAGAAGATGTTCATAATGATAGTTACAAATGTTGCTAGCATTCTAAAAATATTACCAAAGTTTCTTAAAATATTACCAGAGATTATTTAATAAGCTCTTATTTTGTTTTCTAAAATTACAAGAAACGATCATTTTGATTTTATAAGATTTTTGTTTTATTTGTTGATTTTGTAAAAGTTATTAATTTGTTTTATTTTCTTTTTCACTTTATTTTTTATTATTATCTCTGCATTACGGATTAATGTTAAAGAATAAAATAAAAATTTTATAAAGTAAATTATTAAAGTTATTATTAACGGTTATGATTTCATTAGCATATATTATCAAACTTGAAAATAGTACAAACTTTCAAGTGGAAGAAAGAACATTAATGTAACTTGATTAAAGTTGAACTTCACGTGTGAAAAATTATTGCTACTGAATTAAAATTAAAATAATATTTTTAAAAATGGATCAACCGTTACGGTTTATTAGTTTAATTGTGATTAAATCAAGGTTTGACCGATATAAATATATATATATATATATATATTTAATATTATAAATATATTAAACAATAAATTAATATAAAATTAAAATAGCATAAAATATCATTATATTTTATAAAATAATAATAAATAATTAAATAATAATAAAATTATATATAAATATGATTGTATAGGTATAAATTTAAAAAATAATTTAGAATAGTTTGTAAAAAAAAAATGAAAAAAGAATAGTTAAACTAACTGGTTCACATAAGTTTCTTTCTTGATTTTGACTAGTTCTTGATCGATCTAACTGATTCTTGACCAATTTTTGCTCCATCATTTTAGGTTGATTATACTGGTTATTTAACTGATTCTTATTCAATTGATCAAATTGTATACTTTAATATAGTTTTAATGTAATGATAAAAAAAAATAATTAAACATCTAACTTAAAGTTAATTTTAGTCAGAATTCTAAAATAGATTTAGTTTGAGTCATGTTTGACAAATTACTCCAAAAATGAGAAAAGAGTTAAAACTATATATTAAAAAAATTATAAAACTCAATTATTATATAATATTAATGGGTATCATTAACAAATTAGAAGAGAAAACATTTCACTCAATACAAAAACTTAATAACTTAAGCTTGTTAAATTTTTTTTGAATTTCTCATCTAATTTAGTATTGAACTAAACAATGTTACAGCTTGTTATCATTTTTTTTTTCACATAAACTTTTCAAATTAGTAAAAATACTCTTATTTTTCAGAGACTCAATATTTTTTTACTGTCACTCTCTCGTGCTTTTATACTAATTTGATGTTATTTGAATGTTATTATGCTAAATAAAACTCCCAATGAAAGAGAAAATATTTCACTCAATACTAAAACTTAATAATTCAAGCTTACTGGAGTTTTCTTAATTTTTCTATGTTTTTTACTTGTAAATACCCAAATTTCTCCAAATTTTTTATTTTTTTTAAAATAAGAACAAAATATTTTAAGAAAAATTAAAGTTTACTTTAACAAAATGTAAAATTTAAATTTGACTTCAAAAGTAGAAAATCAAACCTTGCAAATAATTAAACCAATAAATTAATGCTTACTTTATATATACAGAATTTTTTTTTCAGAATTTTTAACCTTTTGTAAAAATCCTAAAACCAAAAACTATAACAACAAAAAAGGGAAAAAGAACCATAGAAGAAGAGACATTAAAGGGAGACTAAAAAATTTAAAAGGAAATATTTTGAACATAGTGAAAAAAAGAAAGAGGTGGAGAGAAGGAAGAAGCAAAGGTAAGCAAGAAAAGATGTCTAAGAACTACAAGTAAGTTTTTTATGCATTCTATGAATTTTTTACATATATTCAAACACATTCATACCATGAATGTAAGTTTTATATTATAGAACTATATTTTAATCATCTCCAACCTTTTAAATCTACTATTAAAGTCTTTTTTTCTCTCCATCACTTCCTTTCCTCTCTCTCAACCCATCATTTTTATCCATAGAACTTCATCCTCTTCAACTCATCTCCAATCAAAAACAATTTCTTTTCTCTCCACTTTTCTTCTTCCTTTCC